CCCCAAAACCCCAAAACCCCAAAACCCCAAAACCCCTATAAGAAAACTCATACTTGAGTTATTATAAAAATGAACTGGAGAATTACCACACTCTGCATTCTTCTGGTAGCATCCCTGGCTACAGGAAGTGTTAGAGCACCTCAGAGAGAGGATAAGTATAAGGCAATGGTTAGCCAACCCTTCCTTTGTGGAGTTTGAAAGAGCACTGTTTCTGTACTTTCGGATGTCTTTTTGAATTCATACACTGTTAAATTATTGCAATTCAAGAATTATTGGAAAAATTCAGGCAGATTAGACTATGAAGAGGCCTGGGGCTGGGGCTATGGAGATATGGAAATTATCGTTAAAGGACTTAAAATGAAAGCATTTAATCCTGACTATTTCTGTGAAATTACTGTCCCTATTTGCCACCAAGAAACTTTTAGAAAATTAACAAGAGAAGGATATGCTGATAGAATTTTGGCTAATAAGCCAGAAATCATTAAGAATAATGATTTCATAGATAATTTGTATGAAGATATTAAGACTTCTCAAGATAACGGTGAGAACAGAGAGACCATCACTGTTCATCATTTCTCTGATTTCCACTGGGATTTGGAATATCTTGAGGGAGAAAGCAATTCTTGTTCAAAATTAGTCTGATGTAGGCCTAATCTCAAACCAACTCCAAGTGGAGATGAAGAAAAGGCTGGAAAATGGGGTGATTATCATTGTGACACTAACCCGAAAATGACTGAGAAATTGACTTCTGCTCTGAAAAATTTGAAAAAGCCTGAGTTTACAATTTGGACTGGGGACAATACAGACCATGGGATTTACAACAGTAGTAAACTTTCGACTAAGGCTACAATTGAGATTACAAAGTATTTACAGAAAACCTTCCCTGATAGCGTTATTTTCGGGATTCATGGAAATCACGAGATGGGACCAACAAGTAATCAAAACTTCACAGAAGGATCTGAGTTAGCAATGAAACTTCTTGCTGAAAGCTGGAAGGACTGGATGTCTCCAGAAGCTTATGAGGAATACAGAGACAAGAGCTTTTACTCTATGTTGATTTCAGAGCATCCAAAAGTTTCAAAATCTATAAAGGAAAAGTTTAAGAACGTGAGAGTTATTGGTTACAATTCTCAAAACTGTGACTTCTATAATCGTTATATTCTTGGAACTCTCGGAGACGCCTTGGATCAATTTAATTGGCTGGAGAATTTGCTACAGGAGATGGAGAGGAAGAATGAAATTGGTATCTTTTTCTCCCATATCTCACCTGGAATGGATGCCTGCTTTAGTGAAGTCTCTGCTAGGATTCAGGTGTTGATGGACAGATATCAACATGTGCTCCGTCTTAATCTATTCGGACATACTCATAAAGAAGAGTTTGAGGTTGTTAGAGCTATCAAAGATAAGAAGCCAATCGGAGTTAACCACTTAGCACCATCGATTACAACAATTAATACCCAGAATCCTTCTTTCAGAGTCTTTACTCTGGATGCTGAAACATTAGTGCCTGTCTCAATAGACACCTACACTCTTGACCTAGAAAAAGCTAATAAGGATGACAAATTTGCTGTATTTGAGAAGAACCATGAAGTGACTGAGACCTACGGAATGAAGGATCTAAGCCCATCTTCTTTCTATGAATTAGCTCTAAAGTTTAAAGACAACGAAGATCTTGCGTTAAAGTTCCAGATCAACAGACATGCTGGATCTCCTGCATATCCTGCTGAGAAAGGATGTGATGAGACTTGTAGAAGAAGACTTTCATGTATTACTTCCAACTCTGTCTACTCCGATGTTAGAAAATGCTACAATTGGAGTGATATTTCTGGGAGTTTCGAGAGAAGGAGCTACCTCTTTGATTTCCTATATGGATATTGGGTAGAAGAAATTTAATCTATTCAATCAAAATAGCTGAGATAGGGGTTTTGGGGTTTTGGGGTTTTGGGGTTTTGGGGTTTTGGGG